GTCAAGGCTATGGTTTTTCCAGTGGTCATGTATGGATGTGAGAGTTGGACTGTGAAGAAAGCTGAGCACCGCAAAATTGATGCTTTTGAACTGTGATGTTGGAGAAGATTCTTGACAGTCCCTTGGACTGCAAGGAGATCCAACCAGTCCATTGTAAAGGAAATCAATCCTGAATATTCATTGGAAGGACTGATGCTGAAGCTGAAACTCCAATACTTTGGCCACCTCATGCGAAGAGTTGACTCATTGGAAAAGACCCTGATGCTGGGAGGGATTGAGGGCAGGAGGAGAAGGGGACCACAGAGGATGAGATGGCTGGATGGCATCACCGACTCGATGGGCATGGGTTTGGGTAGACTCTGCGAGTTGGTGATAGACAGGGAGGCCTGGCGTGCTGCGATTCATGGGGTCACAAAGAGTCAGAAACAACTGAGCGACTGAACTGAACTGATATAGATATATATAAATCTTTTTATATTTATCCATATAGAGATTTATATAGTTTTAGCTCTTACAGTGACAGGGAGGCCTGGTGTGCTGAAGTCCATGGGGTCGAAAGAGTCAGACATGACTGGGTGACTGAAAAACAACCACAGCTCTTACATTTAGGTCTTCAACCCATTTTGAGATACTTTTTGCTTGTGATTGCAGGTAAGAGCTCAACCTCAGTTACTGCAGACCCATTTGCTGAAGAAACTTTTTTCTCCTCATGAATGGTCTTGGTACCTTGGCCAATCAGCCAACCATAGATGTACAAGATTACTACTTAACTACACTACACTGATTTATATGTCTGTAAATTTCAGGACTTCCTGGTAGTTCAGTTGGTAAAAATTCTGCTTGCAATGCAGAAGACCCCAGTTCAATTCCTGGGTCAGGAAGATCCCCTGGAGAAGGGATAGGCTACCCACTCCAGTATTCTTGGGCTTCCCTTGTGGTTCAGCTGGTAAAGAATCTGCCTGCAGTGCGGGAAACCTGGGTTCATTCCCTGGGTTGGGAAGATTCCCTGGAGAAGGGAATGGCTACCCACTCCGGTGTTCTGGCCTGGAGAATTCCATGGACTATATAATCCCTAGGGTCACAAAGAGTTGGACACGACTGAGTGACTCACGTTCACTTATGGTTTTACACATGGGTTTGGGTAGACTCCGCGAGTTGGTGATGGACAGGGAGTCCTGGCGTGCTGCGATTCGTGGGGTCGCAAAGAGTTGGACACAACTGAGCAATTGAACTGAACTGAACTGAAGTCAGAAAGTATGAGTCCAATAATTCTGTTGTTCTTTTTTCAAGATCATTTTTACTACTTGGGGCCCCTTGTAATTCCAAGTGAATCTTAGGATAAATTTTTCCATTTCTATTAAAACAAACAGTTGTTGGAATCTTAGCTAACTGCTTTGGTTAGAATGTCCAGTAAATTTGTTGAATAGAAGTGGTGAAACAACACAGCTTTGTCTTGTTCCTGATCATGAGAGAGATGTCTTTCACCACAGAGTATGATGTCAATTGTGGGTTTTTCATAAATGCTCTGTTGAGGAATTTCCCTTCTTGTCTTAGTTTCCTGAGCATTTTTATTATGAAAGGGCATTGGACTTTGTCAAATGATTTTTCTGTGTTAATTTAGGTGATCATTGATACTATTCTTTCATTCTATCGATGTGGTGTATTATATTGATTGATTTTTGTATGTTGTACCACCTTTGCATTCGGGGATAAATCCCATTTGGTGAGGTTGTTGGTGGTAAGTTTAGTCACTAAGTTGTGTCCAACTCTTGCAACCCCATGGACAGAAGCCCACCAGGCTCCTCTGTCCATGGAATTTCCCAGGCAAGAATACTGGAGTGGGTTGCCATTTCCTTCTCCAGGGGATCTTCCTGACCCAGGGATTGAACCTGGGTCTCCTGCATTGCAAGCAGATTATTTACTGACTGAGCCACAAGGGAAGTCCTTGGTAAGGTTATATAATCCTTTAATTATACTGCTGAATTTGGTTTGTAATATTTTATCAAGAGTTCTCTTTTTTAGACCTATATTATTCTTTCCTAAGTAAGCTGTACTCTTTTTTTTTCTTATTAAGCAGAATTAACCAAAGCAAATATTTGATTGTGTTTTCTTCACCTTTCTTCCTAAGTCTTCTTGGGGAGGTGACTTTCAAACCATATATAGATAGCAGAATGCTGGAAGTGGTAAATATTATTCTTATACCCATTTCTGTCTTGAGCTTTTCCAACACTTGTAGGGCTTGGTACAAGAGTGCAAGTGGAGACTGTGTCTGAGTGTGTGTGTGAAAGTAAGTCAAGCTGACAAATAACCAAGCACCATGATCAGCATACCTGCATGAAGACCGCAATGCCTGGTGATGCCCAGAGAGTCTGGGAGCTGTGGATGGTGCATCTGCTCAGCCCTGTGGCTCAGGGTTGGTTCAGAGGGCCCAGGGAAGTTCATTTCCCTGGAAGGAAAGACAAGAGGGCAGGGAGAAGCAGTGTGAGGGGAGAGGGAAGCATGTGTCCTCATCAGATGTCTTTCCAAGGTAGGCAGGCTGAGGCTCATCCTTCCAACCAAGATAATCAGACACTGCAGCCTTAGTGCACGGTGAAATTCAGCTCGTAGGTCAATGGAGAGGAGCTGGGCCCTGCTCCCCCCACATAGGCCCTGGGGGAGCATGAAGTGGGCCCTGGACTCAGGCCTGGACCACAGGCAACCTCGGCTTCTCCTACAACTCCCATCGTGGGAATCGGGGCAGAGCAGATTGGGGGCTGGGGCGGGGGCTGTGTGCGTTGCCATAGAAAGTACCACTCAGCAGATAGTTTAAACAACAGCAGTGTTTTCTCATGGTTCTGGAGGTCAGAAGTCCCAGAGCAAGGTGTCTACAAGGCTGGTTCCTTCGGAGGTGGCCTCCTCTGCTTGTAGGTGAAGGCAGTCTCCTCACTGTGTCCTCACTTGGTCGTCCCTCTGTGTATGTGTGTCTTAATCACCTCTCCTCATAAAGACCCCGTCAGATTGGATTAGGGTCACCCCAACGACTCCATTTGAACTTAACACTAGTTGCTCAGTTATGTCCAACTCTTTGCAACCCCGTGGACTGTAGGCTGCTAGGCCCTTCTGTCCATGGGATTCCCTAGGCAAGAATACTAGAGTGGATAGCTATTTGCTTCTCCTGGGGATCTTCCCAACCCATGGAGTGAACCCAGATCTCCTGTGTTACAGATGGTTTCTTTACTGTCTGAGCCACCAGGGAACCCATTTGAACTTAATTAGCTCTTTAAAAGCCCCCTCTCCTAATCCAGGCCCATCCTGGCATCCTGGAGGGTTGGGGCTCCCACAGGTGCAGTCTGGAGGGGCCCAGTCCAGCCATCACAGACGGTGTGGGCAGCTCTGTACACCGTGATCTCTTGGGGAAAGCCTGGTGACGTCCCCCCAACAGGAGGAAGTCAGGGCACTGTACCACCCCGAGTACCCCCCACCTTGATCTGCAGGCATAAAACCCAGCTGTCCTCGGGGGGGACCTCTGTCTTCCCAAAGCAGTGGCAGCGTTGGAGGGGATCATGTCTGGAGAAGCAGGAAGAACTCCTAATCCTTAGGTTTTCAAAGAAAATGCACCTTGGTGTTCACCATGGTTCTAAAGAAGCATCAGATTCTGCAGAAAGAAACCATTTCCTGCTGGGTCCCCAGGGTACTGGGGGAGGCTCCAGGCCTGGCAGGGATGGAGGGTTTTCATTCACCAGAGCCACAGCACTGGTCCCCTCCGGGGTGAGGCTGGCAGGGCTCCAAGGTGTCCTGCACAGGGTGCGCTGGACACAGGGTTGCTTTCAGAGGACCCAGTTCACGGGGTCGAGCAGCAGCAGGCAGCATCTGTGTGGACAGGCAGCTGGTGAGATGGGGCATTCTTCTGGATGGGGGCAGCTTCTTCCTGGTCTGTTTCATCTTATGACCTGAAGTTGCCCTCCAAGCACCTCAAGGAGGTGTCCACGGGGCCGGAGACTGACCATGTGTGCTATGCCCCCAGGATGAACGAGCGAGACCGGCTGCTAAAGAGGCTGAGCAGGAAGACGCCGCCCACCCTCTTCCGGGGCAGCTCCCTCCAGCAGTCCATGCCACGTGAGTAGCCCCCCGGGACAGGGGGGATGGGGGGAGCCTACGGCCAGGCTGGAGCCCCACATAGGGAAGTAGAATTGGTGTACCTGGCCCCAGGCAGGGACAGCCAGGTGGCAGGTAATTCCCCAGGACCTAGTCAAGTGTCTGAATGACATGGTCCATAAACTTAAAACTTGGATGTGGTTATGATCCTTGTGTCAGCCTCCCAGTCAGATTCTTTCTAAGATGGAAGTGATGTTGCCTTTGCCTGGTGCATCCCAAGGATGGCCCCGTGCTCTTTGCAAACTAAGCAATGACAATCACTGGCCCCTGCCTCCCCTGGCCCCACAAGTGGAGGCTTGGCCTGGTTTCTGCCAAGTGGGGTCCACGGGGATGTGCCAGAGGCCAGGGGAGCGGGAGACACGAGAGTTCAGAGGGAATGGAGCTCAGGGAGGTGGTGGGCTTACCTGCCTCAGGACACCTGGCCGAGCCTCAGATCAGTGCAGTAACTGATCCAGCACCACCCAGGGCTCCAGAGCCCAGCCAGGGCCTCTGATCCTCGAGAGGTTGAGTCTGTGAAGGAGGTGGGGTGGTGGGCTCCGAGGTTCGGGGTCGCAACTTGGAACCGGGCTGCCTGCAGTCCTGTCCCATCTCTGCCCCTCTGTGACCTCAGGTGAGTTAACGCCTCTGTTTCTAGACCTGTAAATCAGAGAGGATATGAGAACATACTTGGGTTACTGGGATGATTCTCTGAGGTTGTACATACAGAGTGCCTGGCACAGAGCCTAACAGTAAGGAGTAAAATGCTAGGTATTACTTTTCTGCCACTAACTGAATAAGTTTGAGCCACTTACATATTTCTTTGAACATCTGTTTTCTCACCTGAGGGGAAAAAATGGAATGATGTCCATCTTACACAGTCTGTGAGGTCGCATGACGGTCGGAGCACAGCCCATGAGGAACGGGAGCGCTGGCTCCATAAACACAGGTCTTGTGCTGTGGAGCCTCTGACCAGAGAAAGGACAGACAGGAGAGCAAAGACCACTTGAGGACCCATTCGGTTGTCTGGCAACAACCAGAAAGGCTCTTAAAATAACTAAGAATTGTTTTCTGAACTCTCCATATTTTGAAGGACAAAAAAATTTTTTTTTCTAATGAACAAGTACAAAGCATAGGCAAGCTGCTAAAAATCACACCATGTTTTAAAGACAGTCAGCAGCTAATAGTAAGACCCTGATGGACAGGAGGGTGTTCTCATCACCCACCCCCAGAGAAGACCATCTTGCATCGGGAGCAGCCTCCGGCCTCAGTGTTCCCAGGAAACCAGGAGCCCAGGTCCTGGAGCAGTTGTTCCCGGGGACCGCACGTACACGGTGTCCGCAGCCCAGACTCAGGGCTCCCTGGCCGGTCTGATCTCTTTGCCATCCCCCTGGTCTTCCCACATTCTCTGCTCTGAGGACTCTTCCAGACAGGAAACAGCTACTTCCCCTAAGATGTTATCAGAGCTCAGCGTTGAAGGAATGCTACTTAAGGGACGTTTCATTCCAAAATAATGAAAAAATGACCTGATTTTATGGACTTCCCCAAATGTCCTACCAGAAGAAGACAAAACAACTAAGCAGTGCGTCTGCCCTCCCACCTACCCGAACGCTGTCCTCAGGTCCCGGCCGCGACTGAGGCCAAGGAAGCCGATGCACCAGCCATCAAGTGTGTTCTCCAGGCCCCCAGCATTCCTTCCCGGCTCTCAGGACTTCCTGGAGATGAATGATGGCGGGAAATGCTATGAGCCAGGGCTCCCCCCTTCCCCGTTTGAATGCAGATGGCAGTTACCTGTTCATCTGGCAGGAACTGTGAGCGATGGGGAATCTTGGTCAGGCTGGGCAGGCGGAGGCTGCCTGGGTGGTTACTGTCCTGGTGGTTCTGGTCTAACCTCTCCCAGGACTGGTTTCCAAGAGGAAAATGTTTATTTGAATCACAGAGCACCCTTGTTCCTAGGACCGCCATCCTTTCTTTCTTGCAAGTCCACTTAGCCTCAGTTGAGGCTGAGAACATCCTGGTGGATCCCCCTGGGGGAGCTGGTAGAGGGGACTCCAGGAGAATAGCTTTGCTATCTGACCAGAAGCTTCCCTGGAAACCCTTCCCACCACCGAGGGGCCAAGCTATCCCACCGGATGGCCCTGTTCCCAGGAGCCCAGGAGGGCACTGCAGCTGAGTCCCCCAGGCGCAGGCAGGTCTGAACAGAAAACACGAAATAAAAGATAAGGCTTCAGCCCTTCCCCTGGAACAGGGAGTAGACCACTCCAGATGCTAAGGCCCTCTTCCCGACAGGACATTCCCAAGCAGTGTTTACTTGTACCTCTCAGCAAGCCCCCTTCACTTCAGCCCATCCAGCACTGGAGAAGGCGCATTAAAACACAGTTACCAATTGTTTTGTCTGGGCTGGTTGTCAAGTCAGGCTCCTTGGTCCCTGACCTGGAGTGGAGGCCTCCGTTGGGGACACCAAGGGTAGAAGCAGTTCTGCCTGCAGGAGAGGGCTCTGTGGCCCGGGCACTGTCAGCCAGGGGCCCAGGCTGGCCCGCATGGAAGACGAGGTGGAGACCTCGTCTGGTACAGCCCATTTATTTTATGGAAAAGTAAACCCAGGAGACCGAAACCTTAAAGGGCACCAGTTCTGTGGCCAAGCAAGGACTGGAACCAGCCCTTCTCACCTGGGGCCTTGGCCCTGGGCTCCAGATCCCCTGTAAAAATGGGGTGGGGGGACAGCCAGCTTAGGATGGAGAGCCCCGTGGCTGCCTGCCTCCCCAGGTGTGGGAGCAGCACTTACATACTAAGTGAAGTAGGTCAGGCAGAGAAAGACAAATATCATAGGATGTCACTTACATGCAGAATCTAAAAGAGGCTACAAATGAACTTGTTTACAAAACAGAAACAGAATCACAGAAAACAAACTCATGGTATGGGGGTGGGGGGGGAGCGACAGGACAGGAGACTGGGGCGGACGTGTACACACGTGTGTATATAAAATAGACAAACAAGAGACCTTACTGTATAGCACAGGGAACTTAATACTCCCTAATAACCTAAATGGGAGAAGAGCTTAAAGAATAGATACACGTGTATATTAAAAAGCAGAGACATTTTACTTTGCCAACAAAGATCCGTCTACTCAAGGCTATGGTTTTTCCAGTAGTCATGTATGGATGTGAGAGTTGGACTGTGAAGAAAGCTGAGCACCGCAAAATTGATGCTTTTGAACNAAAACACAACACTGTGAATCAACTATACTTCAATATAAAATAAAAATTCAAACAAAAAAGAAATTCAGGATGATACACAGGCAAAACTCCTGATTTCTTGTTCTCCTTTAAAGGATATGATGAGATAACAGCACCAGTGATAAGTCATAAACATGTGTGGATGGGAGGCAGGCTCTGGCCTGGGTTGTCTTTTGCTCAGAACGTCTTATCTGGCTGTGGGGCGTTTCTGGTCCCCTGACCCAGGAGGGTCAGTGAGCAGAGAGGCAGTCTTACAAATGTCCCTCCAGTGGGAAGGGTTGGTTAGGAGGGAGTGTCTGCCTCGGGCTGGGAATGCAAACTCCGTCCCAGGAACACAGGACAGAGCTGCAGGGGAATGTGGGCCCTGCCTGGGCTTGACTCCCAGCTCTGCCACCTTGGGAAAAATGACATCACCTGTGCCTCAGTTTCCCCACCTGTGACATGGGAAGAGCTCTCACCTGTCTCCTAGGGCTGTCAGGAGGAGGAAATAAGCCATGTGTGCTTAGCATAATACATACAACAGTGCCCAAGACACATAGCATTTAATAATTGTCTGCTGTCATCATCATTGGAAGTGGGAACTCCCTGGGGATCCAGTGGTTAGGAACTCTAGGCTGTCAATGCCAAGGGCCCAGGTTCAATCCCTGAGTGAGGAACTAAAATCTCACAAGCTTTGTGGCCAAAAAAAGGAAAAAATCATTATTGGTACTGGTTGTAAAATCTAGTCTTTATGTAGCCACTGGGCCAATCATTAAACTCCTCAACTTTATCTAGTGATCTTTTTCTTTATTTACACGAATACACACTCACGGTAATTTATTACCGGTCCAGATCCGTGTACGTCAGCCAGGCAGGCTCCCAGCGCCATGTGTGATCTGCCAGCCTTTCCTGTTAGTGTGTTTATGGCTTCATGAATTACCGACTGGCCTGCGGCTCGGGGCGCATTGGGATGTTTCCCGCACAGGACGACTTACCTTTCCTCTTGATGGGTGGTGGGAAAGTGCAGCCATGGCCCAGTGACCCACAGATGATGCCTCACAGGCTGCGCTAAATGAGCTCTGCCCAGCCGCGTCAGCACCCCCCCTTCATGGGGGTCACAGGGCCCTGGACCCCCATCCAAGGCTACAGAGCCGCAGTCTCTCCCCCAAATGCAGCTGCTCTGGACGCCCCTCCTCACCGGCCCCTGTGCTTCTCTTGCAGACGGGTACGCCTTCTCCCAGGAGGAACACGGAGCCGTGACTCAGGAGGAAATCGTCCGCGCCTATGACACCACAAAGCAGAAATCCAGGAAGAAGTAGGACGCTGCCTCCCGCCGGAGCGCAAGAAGAGACTCATGGCAGCAGCCAAAACACCGCAACACGTCCTGTGGCCTTAGCCCGTTCCTTCGCTCCGTGCCCTGGCGAGCCTGGACCCAGACTGCCGGGGCGCCCCACGCCCTCCCTGCTCGTCCGCCGTGCTCGGCCCGACTCTTGTTTAAGCGTTCAACTGTGCGCTGTGAGGTGTGAAATTAAAACCATTATGTTTCCCCAGTATTTACACATCCGTCCGGGTGGCTCTGGGAGAACAGGGAGAGGCTTTCATGCTGCGTGAGGAGCCCAGCTGGGGGGTCGGATACCCGCGGGTTTGTTCCGCAGGCTGCACGGAACCTTCCCTCGAGGTGGACAGCCCGCTGGCTTTGATGTCCCCTGTGTTTGTATGAAGTTGGCATCATCACATTGATTGCAGTGAAGTCATAAACATAGGTATCTGGGTGGTAAACCTGAGAAGAACTTTTGGAACCTCAGTCACGGTCTCAGCAGGGCGGACCCGCTGGGTCTGCACAGTCTCCTGACCCCTCCTGCCCGGCACCTCCCAGCCGGGCGCCCCCAAAACAGTCCTGCTGCATGGCTGGCCCTGTGCTTGGTGCATGGCAGCTGCGGGCACCTGCTCCGACCCTCACCCTCCCTCCTTCTCCCCCAGATTCAGAAACGGATGCAAGAAACCCCCCTTCTTCTCTATCTAAAGAAACAGCAATTTGCATATATTCCAAGTGTTTATCTTCCTCTTTCTGGCAACAAGGAGGCCTGCGGGTCAGGGTGATGTGGAATTGCTGGAGCCCTGCCTGCTCTGCTCAGGCTCGCAAACCTCATTTTCTGGCCTCCAGACCCCTGGACCTTGGCACCTGCTTAAATTAGAACCCACACTCGTTCTCTTGGGAGTTCAGAGCACATTTTGGATTTCGAGTAAATTTACAGCACGTCTCCCTAGCAAAGGAACACACCAGTCGCTCCAGACTCTGGGAGGATAAATAGCCTAGTGAGAGTCCCTGAAGGTGCAGAGGAAGACAGCCACTGCAGGGGAGTGGCGGCAGAGACACCGAAGGAGGACGCTTTTCCTGCAAATGTCAATAGAATTCTGAAATCAAGCCCGANCAGAGAGGGCTCCAGGGCAAGCAGAACAGCACAGCAAACAGGCGAGGGTAGGAAAATGGCCCCTTCTCCCTTCCCAAGGTCTGAGACATTTTAAACACTAGGGCAACCAGAGAGAGGAAGGGTTGAGGACCCTTGAGCAGGAATCACAACAAAATACGTGCCTGTAATTAACACAAAGCCAGGCAGATGTCCCACCTTCACACACAGGAGGAGGAAGTCCTAAATACAGAGGAGAAATGAACCTTTGGATTGAGCTGCGCTAGGCACCCAGGACAATTTGGTGTCATCTGGGAACTAAGCCTGGTTGGAAAAGGGAATTCAAACTCAATTTTTTGGTCAAACATTTGGCTGGTTCTTGAAGCCTTCCGAATCAGATTTGCGAATTACTGCGTGCACTTTTTTAGGGCTTTATCATTCTCATTTTTCACGTTGAAATACAGTTCTGAGTTTTCTGAGACTGAAGTATATTTTCCAGCTCTCTTGAGAAGTAGACTAAACAGCCTTTGCAGTCATGAAAGATGCACAGAGAAGGAAGCACTAGAGAGATGCCTTTCTATTTATTCCCTCCCACGATTAAGCTATCTTGTAGCCAAATGACTAAACTGGGTGTCCGGGGGGAGCAGCTGTCACTATGTGAGATGCATGACCTTCAGCTGGGGCGACTCGCGCTGTGTTGTTTGTCCTATCTTTAAATTGAGGTCAGAGTGTCGCACACAAGCCCTTCCCTGGGAGCAGGGTGGGCCGACTAGGCTCCACGCTGTCAGCTCCGTGGAGATGCCACCTGGGAATTGTCACTCTGCCACACGGAACGTGACACAGGCCAGCAGGTCGGCACTGCAGGGCCTGACATTCGATTGGGCTAAAATGGCAGATCCCACTCGGACCCAGTGCTGGACTAGCCTGGTACCCAGACTGCTGATGCGCATTTGAACCTTTGCTCAGTGCCGGCTGCCTCTGCAGACAGAAGGGAGCAGCCTCCCCAGCTCTCAGCTCTGCACCAGCGAGCACAGGTGGGTGCCTGCACGCCGAGAGGAGAAAATGAGAAAGCAGAAGAATTCAGCCATTTCTGCTGGGCTGTTGGGATTAGCCTGTGATCACCAGTCTGGGGGCTTGGTCATAATTTTTGGGTGTCACTGATGCCTCTAGTCTGTCTCTAGGCAGAATATTTCAGACTTCTTGACCAGTGTTACATTCTCCCATCTCCCAACACATACACACAACAACAACAACAACAAAAAAAAAAAAAAACCCTGTGCTTTGGAGAAAAGAGATGCTGTGCCTTTAACATTTGGAGTGAAACCCTAACATGGAAGCCTGGGCTTTGGTGGACCACAGCTGAGAGCTGTGCTGGTCTTTGCTTTCCCCTGACAAGGCTTTAGGTCTTGCTGTAGGGAGCTGGCAGTGAAAATCTATAATCACTTGTCCAGAAACCGTGAATCATGAAAAAGTGAGTATAAGTAACTAATATCTGAAAATGCATATGGACATAATATTATCAACTATATGGTTGAATTTTCTTTAAATAAAGCTCTAGTCTATCATCTTATTGTTATAATAATGACCCTTTATCTTTTTTAACCATAAAGAAGAGAATTTCCTATCATAGTCCCACTCCTAGAGATTTACATCCTGGACCACAGGTTGAATAGAATGTTTTCAAAGCTCTGCTCTAAGATAAGGTGGTCTTTAGTTTTGAACATGTGAAAGAACTACACACATTTCAGCCAGGGTTTGAATTACTGCCCAGGGTCACTGTCCCCAAGTAACTCAAAGGTGATTTAGGCTCAGCATTTGAAATGTAGCCTTTATCTCCTGGGAGCCATAAAGAATTTTAACAGGGAAACTGGTTAAGCAGAGCCTGAAATAATGTGGCAAAGAAGAGAATTTATCAGGTCAAGTTAAAGGATACCACCCCCCACCCCATCATATTCATTAAACAATTTCTTCATGCAGATGCTTAAATTAGAAAATATACAAGTGATGGAGACAGTGAAAATAAAGCATCCCTTCCCCAAAAATAGAGCAATACAGCAGAGGCTCTATGGTTTTAAGTCTGTTCTTGGTCTCTGTAAGTCTTGGGGGAAAATTATTTTGCCTCATATTAGCCATCTTTCTATCTTGAATAACTAAGAGGACAGAAGATTTTCCAATGGGTCTTAGAGGTCAGGACCTGAGATCCCATGTGATGACAAACTAACAAGTGTTCCCAAAAGGAAGGGACCCATGATACTCGACGTATCAGACTCTTCACTGAGTTTTTCTTGTATCCTCCAGTGCCCAGCAGCCCACGCCTCCACTCTTTTTTACAAGAGCTTCATTTAATGCCAGACCTCCAGCTCCAGCTGTTTAAAGGGCTTCTGGTTTTTTGGGTCTACACGGGAATCCTTCCGGCAGGAAGAAAGCCCTGGGAGCCCACAGCAGCTCCAAGTGGCTAGACTGTGAAACAAGCAGCAGTGGAGGAGGGGCACGCACCCCCCCGTCCCCACACCACGTAGAGCCCATACCTGTCACCCAGCAGAGGCCCCTGCTCCCCTGACTGGGGGGGGGCGGTGGACAGGAAGGAGACAAGAGAGTGATTCTTCTGACACCCAGGCCGGCTCGTTTTCAAGTGACAATCTCTCGTCCGAGTTGCCTTAGCGATATCTACTCCCAGGCATCAGACCAAGAAAAACACACTCCTGAGATTAGCCCATCAGCATTTCTCCTGACCTGGCCACAGAAAGGAGACCTGTGCATTTTAAAAGCTGGGAACAAAGTGTCAGGTGGCTTTGATTTATGACGGAAGAGGAAGAAGCAAGTGGAAAGACTGGCGCTATCCAAATAACCCTGCCCGGGGAAACCCGGGGTCAAGAGAGCCTTCTCAAGAGCCTCTCACAAGCCAGCCTGACAGTGTGGAGAAAGGGCCAGCAGGAGGGGGGCCGCCTGAGGGTCAGGATGTGAGCCCACTTCCTTCCGAAGGACCGGAGCCGGCCGGGGTCCTGAGACGGCTGGGCGTGCAGCTGCAGGCAGAGCAGGAGACACCAGGTACAGAACAGAAAGACAACCTGCCTTGTCTCGGGGCCTCCCTCCTCCCCACGAAGCCCCTGCACAGGGGAAAGCGTTTGCGGTTTTCCATTAATAAAGTCAACCCAAGTCCAGTCGCTCTTACTCCACCTGCCCTCTCCCGGGTGGCTGAGCTGGGAGGTGTGTTGGGCTGCCCCCTTAGTCCCCCTGCCCCCAGGGCCTGCAGCCCTGACAGGTCACCCTTCCGGCTGCGGTCTGAACATGCCACCCTGCAGTGTCTCCTTCACTTGGGCAAAGCCACGTGTTCTCCTTTCCATTGTCACATCTGTGCTGCCACTGCTGAGATGGCATTTGGCTGGGAGATTTCATCTGGTTATGCAGAGGGAAGGGGGCATGGGTAGGGGGGAGCTAGCTTAATTGGCTCCCAGCAGAGTGGGCAGCTCTTCTCTGGAGTATAGCGGTCCTGTCCTCCCCCTCTGGAAGTCTTACTACCGTCCTCATGTCCTATTAACGTCCTCTGGTTGTTAAATTACAGCAGTCTTTAGCCAGAACCGGGAGCCGGGGGTTCCTCGTGGAATGAATACAAATGAAGGGCATTTACTGGTATTTTGGGGAGGGGGGGTTGGAAAATGTAGTGATGCGTGGCTTTGATCAATCCTGTTGACTGGTGTATGTCTGCACAAACCTGTTTCAAATAAATCTTTTGTTAAAGTAAATGATTGGACTGGGCTGTATTTGTGAATTTCTTTCCCACTAATAAGCAGCTCCTGCCATAGGGATTTTGGCCTATTACACAGAGGTTTTGTCAGCAGCTACAGACTACACACACACCCCCACACCCACACACACGCATGCTCTGCCTTCCGAGCTGGCAGCCTGGAATTGCTGTGAACGGCGGGCGTGCAGAGTGATCTGAATTGCAGATGAGTGGGAGGCCAGGCCCCCTTTATGAGAAGCAGGTCCGAGAGGCCTCCCTGAGCCAGACTGACCAGGCAGAGGGGCAGACTGTGCACAGAAGGCCTTCTCTCTCAATTACTTCATTCCCTTTGGTTCATCCCAGTTCCCTTGCAAACTGAGATGTGGGAAGTTCAGGCTCTGTTGTCAAGTGTGAAGTCA